GGGGGGTTATAAATAAACAATTATAAGTATTTATGATTAAAAATTATCATGGTATCTTATCTGTTCCCCCTATTCTTCATACACACAATTGTATTACTGACTGATAAACAACAAGTATTTTATCAGTAAAACAATTATAATGACTGTATTAAGTCTGATGTGAATGAATAATACACTGAAAAACCTTATTATTGAATGCAAAGAGTATTTACTGAATGATAGAAATGGTGACCAAATATTTATAAACTATTAAATCAATTGGAGATTAATATCGCAAAATTATTCTCGCATTTAATTCACTCAAAATCATTGGTTTAGCGGATAAACCATACAATTAATAACACGTTATGTTTGTTATACAAACATACTTAAAAACTTGTTATAAATAATCAGTGAATTATACGTTTGACTGAAACTAACAATTTTATTGTCATTTTTAGTGGAAACGACAGAAACAAAAGTTTAAGTTTATTTTTTGCAACAATTTTTTTCACAAAAGTTGTGTTATTTTTTCATAAATACTCAAACATTTGAGTCAAACATTTTGATGAAAGAGTTTGAGTGAAATATTCAATCATTTTGTGAATAGACTGCGAATAAAAATCAATGCGTTTTTAATTTAGTTTTTACTTTTTGTTTAAATAATTTTAATTAAAATACTTTTATTTAATACTTTTAATTAATAATTATAATGAATATTTTGCTAATCGCGAGCACACTATGCCTATGGGGTGTGGCGTACGGGTTGGGCGATGAGGGCATCGACTGGTCGGCGATATTACAACTGCCAAAACCGGCCGCCAGTCCGACGGCCACTGTATGCCAACTCAATAGCCAAACGTTGGATCAATTCATACAACAAAACGCCAACACAGGGGTTGTGGTCATCAGAAGGGATGCCTCGACGAGCGGACAGTCGGCCGACAACTTTGGCCAACAATCGGCGCAACTGTTGGCCAACAAAAACATCGCCGTTTGCGAGCTGTCAGTCGACGGGCAGACAGTCGGCGGTCAGGGCTCGGAAGTGGTGGTGTATATGAACGGCAAACTACACCCGTATTACGGCCGCCGCTCGGCGTCGGCCCTCTTGTCCTTTGTGTTGAAACTGACGACAACTCACGTAAGGCTTATCACTGGGAAACTCGACAAAAAGGCTTACGATTTGGTGAACGGACCCAAACTCGTGGGCTTTTTCATGCCCTCAACACCCGATCTCATCGCTTACGAAACGGTGGCCGCGAAGTACAGCCCAGACGTACCCTTTTATTTGGTCACCGATCGGATGGTCAGTATTTTTATTGACATTTTTTTATGATAACAAATAAATATCAGTAATAATAACAATAATAAATCATTTTTCATAAATAACCAGGTGGCTAAACATCTGAAACTAACAGTTGTGGGCCAAATCAACCTGGTCAAACCGGCCGAAAAGTTGGCCATAACTCTGCCCATAAATCCGGCCACCGGTGCCGACATCGAGGCATTCATACAGCAAAACAAAGGCGTTGTTCTCAAGTACTTGACTGAACACAACGTATACGACCCGTCACTGCAGGACCCGAACCGTACGTCAATTGTGGCCATCGGTGACCGCACGGCAGCCGTCGGCCAATACTTTCATAAATTGTTGACTAAAGCCGTGAGAAATATCACTCGAGAAAACGCGGCCATATCTGCGGCTTTATTGGCCAAAAGTGCGGCCGAGTTGGCAGATCCTGCGCTCGACAGCACCGGTACCGCCACCGCAGACACAGCGGCAGACACTGTGGCCGCTGAGACACCAATTCCCTCACCCATTGATTTAGACTCTCTTGAAATCCTATGGATTGATCCGCAAGTGTTTCCCTCAATCAGCGTATGGTTGGATCAGATCCCGACTACTGGCGCGCAACGACTTGACATATATATCGGTGCCGTAAACCCGGCTGCGGCTGAGCGAGTCTGGTTGGACACGACGGCACTCAACACTACTGGTGGCAAAGGGGCCGATGAGACCAATCTATTACTTGTGCGCCAATGGCTTCAGGAAGTGATCGCCACTCAGGTTGCGGCCGCGCAGGCTTTGGCCAGCAATGTGGCGACAATTGCTACCATAACTGAACCCACGACACAAACTGGTCGCCGATTCTCGGCTGAGCCCCAGAGTTTGGCCGTACGCGAGGGCCAACCCTTTGTGTTGGAGTGTGTGGTGACCGGCGATCGGGTGTCGGCCGCAGCCGGCGATTGCTTGTGGCTTAAAGACGGCCGTAATATAGGCGCCAATTTGGCCCGAGTCTCGCCCGACTATCAGTGGCGACAACAGACCACTGCCGGTGCTGTCAATGTGGGCGACTGTAGTCTAGTGGTGGCCTCGGCTGACGCCCAGCGCGATAACGGCCAGTGGGTGTGCGAAGTGGCCGGCGATCAGCGCCAGCCAACCCTAGCGTCCCGCGCAGCCACCGTTACGGTTACGCCGGCGCCCAAAACTGAGCTATAGTTTTGTATTTCCCCCCAAAATTGCCATTTGATTACATGTTTTTAATTTTCCTGTCAATAATTTTTTATCAATTTAATGCTTTATTATTATTTTAATTATTTTTTATTCATGTGTAATTTTCTTATGTAATAATTATAGTGATGTATCTGTAGTAAATATTAGCTATTATTTTTAACTGGCTATTTTTATAAGTAATCATGTATTTAAAATAGTAATGTTTTGATAAATAAAATATTCACATAATAAATAAAATTGTTTACAACATTTTTATTAACACAGCATTTTGTTTCGTAATACAATTACAAAGTGTATTTTGAAAACATGGCTAATAAATTAATTAACACTACAATGGATGTCATTGAAGCGAGTGCTGCGACGGTCGACGAGCCCTATATATAAATTAAATGTTATATTTATTAATTAATTTTTCAAATATAACTAAATATGTCAATAGTGTATACCGTATTTGGAGATGTGGTTGAAGTAGAATTGCCAGTCATTGATCTATCTGAGCTAGCTGTTTTATTACCACCTTGATTAGTAGAGGTACCGTTAATAGTTTGTTGACCATTAGTTTGTGTACCATTAGTTTTTTGACCATCAGTTTGTTGGCCATTAGTTTGTTGACCAGTTGTTTGCTGACCATTAGTCCCATCTATAATATATTTTATAAACATAATTAAGATAAAATTCACATAAATATTTTATTAAATCATTATATTGAAATACCTTTATTTGCCGTTGAGTTCATTCCGGTTGAGTTGTTAGCCCTTGGGTTGTCTGCCATAGAGTTGTTTCTAGGGTTAGGAGTAGGTGATCCAGCGGTTCCATTCATTCCCATTGCCGGTGTTGCTGGCATTCCTGTTCCCGGTATTCCCTGTCCCGGCATTCCCTGTCCCGGCATTCCCTGTCCCGGCATTACTGTTCCCGGCATTCCCTGTCCCGGCATTCCTGGTGCAGTCGTACCGGTCCCATTCATTCCCGTTCCCGTTGTGGCTGAAGGAACTAGTGTGATGTTTTGAGAATTAGTTGTGTTTGAACTCGTTGAATTAGTGCCTAGTGGTGTATCCAGGCCCTAAAAAAGAGATCATGTTAAAATATTATGTTTAGCAAAATATAATAATAATTTTTAGATGTTAAAAATAATTGAATATACTGTTGAAGTGAAGGCACAGTTCATGCACGATATGAGTGCAAACAGGACGCAATTAGTCAGAATATTTAAAAGTAACTTGTTCATGGTTGATTTTCTCTTAGATTGTGGCACAAGAATTATAGTAAAACTGCATTCAATAGACTTATATTAAAATCAATGATAACTATTAACTTTAATTGACTTTAATGTGAAACATCTAATGAGAGACTAAGATGTGGGTCTCAATACACGTATAACACAGTACTAAATACATGTTATTTGCCGTGAAATGCAATGATTTAGCGATTAATTACTTAATTTTCAAATCATTTCTTACGTTTTGTTTCATTCACTTTCGTATCGCTTTCACAATGCATTTGCGATGATTTCATTCCCAATACATTTATATTTTTCCATTGATTCCCATATATTCATGAATTTTTGTTTTATTTTATTGACTAATGTTTTCATAAAATTTTTTACGATGTTTTTCTACCGTGATTTGCAGTTAATTAAAACAATAGCTAAATTACGTAAAACTCAATTATAAATCCGGTAATTAATTGCATTAGTCATAAATAATAGAGTTAAACATAAGTTATCATAACACAGTATACAATAAATATAATACATGTTATGTAATAAAATAATTTTTAACTTAATAACAACATTATTATTTTAATTATTAGTTTGAATTTAATTTAAATAGAAATATAACTAAATGTTTGGATTTATTCAAAAAGAAAATTATTATTTAAAAATATAAATACAATTCAATAAACTATATTAAATGCACATGGTATTTCTTACATAATAATGCAATTATAGTTGTATATAATTAATAATAAATGTTTGTTGTGCTATAAATTATATTACAATAAATTAATAAGCTAGTTTATCTAATTTTATATTAATAAATAAAATAAGTTTGTAACCTTTAATAAAATTATGATTTGTATTATAAATTATTTACAAGTTAACTTATTTATTTACAAGTTAACTTAAATTATTAATAAAAACCTTATAAATAACAGGATAATTATATCTAATAAAAAATGTTTACAAAAAATAAATGTCAATGTATAAATATAAAATAATAATTATTTATTTGAATTGTTGACGAATTAATAATTATTAATAATAAAAGAATTGTGATTTACTATTCTAACTAGCTTATTACAAAAAATTAAAATAATGATTAATATACAGTGCATCGATTTGTTTATTTTATAGTTTATTTTAAGTCATATATTTTTTTTATAAACAAACAATTTATATTAATCTACATTGTTTACTGACTATATAATGTTCAATGACCATTTGTCCATTAATCAAGATAACCTAGTAACATTTGAGTTAAATGAATTTAGCATTATATTAATGTATTGAAATAAAAAAAAACATTAATAAATAAATGTCATATAATATAAAGTATCGTATTGATCGTAGATTATACTGTATACTGTATTGTACAGTATAAAAGGTAAATGTTATGTATTTCAAACATTAAATCTATTGAAACACAATAATTATTATTTTCTACACTTTATTAACTTACAATTACTAATTGTTCTAGCTGTTTATTATCAAATAAATATATGGTGAGCTATAACTAATATTAATAGTTATAAATAGATTGTAATTAAATATAAATCTATTATTAATAAAGCTTTTGTGAAGGAAATCATTATTTATTAAATCAATATCTGTTCCCTTAATTGGCATAAATATTGACTGAAAAAACCACCATTATGCTTTTACCAAAACAAAATACATACAAAATACGCACAATTTAACCAGTTCAAAAATCACCATCATGACTAAACTAGTACAATTTAAAAATCTATGCCATTTATCGCAAATATTATCATCAATAAAATCACGATTGAATGTAAAGACAATCTTAAGACTGTCGGTGACATTGATTTGTGTGATAGGATTCCTGAACCAGACATCAAAACTGATCGCTCAGTTCATGAGCGGCCGGACTATTGTCAACATTAGGTTCGGCCGACTGCACGACGAACCGGTGCCGGCGGTCACCATATGTTACCCGTGCTATATGTCGCTCGAGAGGACCGTCACCTTCAACGACACCTATTGGCAAATATTCAACGAATACGAGACACTACTCGCCAGTGTAGAGACCGACGGCCGCCAATACATCGGTAATAACACCGACCGGTTATCGGCACTGTATTCCCGAGTTTACGGCCGGTTGGGCGCCAAACGGGTCGACTCGATGTCGGTTTGGGATCTGTTTGACAAAATTAGTCTACCGTTTAACAGATCCGGCGACGGCTCGGGTCTGGAGGTGGCCATCGATGTGCGCGCCTTTGGTATTGTGCGCGAATCGGTGGACACGAGTCACCTCAAGTCTGTCACATACCAGAACTTCAAGGACTGGGCGCCCGTCGAGAGTCTGACCGCCGAATACATGGCTCAGTGTATCCGCAAGTGTTACACATTCTTCAGCGCACTTAACCCCCGATGGAGTGGCCATCGCATGGATTTGGATTACATGACAATCAATATCACGCATCATAACCGCTGGTTTCCGGCCAACGTATACGACACCGACGGCAACAGTCTTCACGTGTCCATACATTCACCGAACGTATTGCCGGATCTGATAAGGGGTGAGAATTTTGTACTCCTGGACACGCGGTACCGGTATTTGTTGACATATTCCCAGATCAATACCCATCTGTTGCCGCCCGACTACGACACCAATTGTCGCCACTATCACCGGCACGACCTGCGCGGCGACGTCCGTATGCGCAGCGATTGTATCAGTCTTTGTCTGATCCGCAGTATGAGGACTGTCTGCCAAATTGATTGCGTGTTTCAAACGGAGACACTGTTACGACAGGAGTTGTTTGGGGGCACCGGTAGTCAATCGGGTCAGAGTTATTGTCCCGAGTG